CCAGAAATAAGCAAAAGGCACCCCTTCTATATGTTTTCTTAAGGATGTTCTTAAAACATAATATTATTCTTGTATTTTTAACCACCTTATTTTATCTCAGTTATCTATTAATAATCTTTTTATTTAGTTAATGCCCTTCTTGCATATATATATATATATTTAATTAACCTCTCTCTACACTGCCCTCCTCACCGCTCAGTCTTAGTAAGCATAACCAAACACTCAGTGCACTTTCTACATTTAAGACAAACAAAACATCTAGAACAAACAAACAAATAAAGACTAACAGCCCCCCAAGTGCACTTCTCGCACTTTTTGGCGCACTTCTCGCGCAAAACGCACTTCTCGCGTTTAAGACAAACAAACACATACAAGTGCACTTCTCGCACTTTTTAGCGCACTTCTCGCGCTTTTTGGCGCACTTCTCGCGCAACACGCACTTCTCGCGTTTAAGACAAACAAACACATACAAGTGCACTTCTCGCACTTTTTAGCGCACTTCTCGCGCTTTTTGGCGCACTTCTCGCGCAACACGCACTTCTCGCGTTTAAGACAAACAAACATATACAAATGCAGCACTTCTTTGCATTAAAAGCGTATTTTTTTTACGCCAAACGCGTTTCCTTGTGCTGGAATAGTTACACACGCTACAGCGCTCACACACACACATGCGCTTTTCACGTTGCAACACTCACACCCACACGCACACACACGCGTTTCTCACGTTACCACACTCACACACACAACACACACACGCTTCTCACGTTACCACACTCACACACACAACACACACACATGCGCTTCTCCAGGACCTGAAAGCTCGACTCTCCTCTGCCCTCTTCTCAATTAATTTTTGTCTGTTTAGGTTCTTTTTACGGTGGAGTCTAGTATTTAAAAACAATTACTAACCAGGGTGACAGCTTACCAGCAGTGACCTCACAAAACAAAATAATAAGCAAAAGCTGCTTACCTATTTATGCCGGCTCTTTTGTTTTGTGAGATCTCTGCCAGGGCCTTCACCACGGCTGCTTGACCCCTTCCCGCTCCTGGCTGGCACCGCCAATTATGTTGTGGCATATTCTCGATCTTTGGTTCAATTCTTCAAAGTCTGGTTCAGGTCTCAGACGAAATCTTTCAGAGTCGAAGTCTCAGGTCTCAGAAGAATAACTTTATTGAGCTGTTCAACAAAGTGAGATGACGGCCACTCATCTGATCTTTCATGGGCTAGTGCTCTAGTCTTATACCTTTTTCTTATCTTTAGTATTCAATTAGCGTTTGTATTAGTATCTTTTTACACCATGGGCATCTGTATTAGTATCTTTTCACATAATGGGCATCTGTATTAGTTTTTCTTTTCACACAATGGACCTCTTGTTTTTAGCAGTCGTTTACTCAATGGACATCTTGTTTTAGTATCTTTTTCTTGGTGGTACATCGTTACATTGTATACAATATGTTTCTCTTCCAGTGCTTCCCAACACCTGCATCTGTGCTACAAGTTTCTTGGGTACTTTTCCACTCTCTTGTCCATGTCCTTATGTGCCCTATCCTCACATGCCCTGTGACCTAGTTTTTCTGCTTGGCATTACAGCATTCAGACCTGGTTTTCTCTAGCATTACAGCATTTTATATTCAGACCCATGTATGAGACATGTATGAGACAAATGAAATTCCCCAACATGGTCAGGTCTATCTCTTCAACCAGTTTTTCCAGTCTTACTGTTCCTGTTGTTTTTTCAGATCATTGCATGCATGGTGCAATGTTCTTTTATTTTGAACTCTGTCAAGCCTAAAAGTGCTTACTGGCATTTTAATTTAACTTTGTTTGATAATAAGGATTTTATGCACACTTTTAAATTGTTTTGGGCTGATCACAGAACAAAAAATAATCATTCACGCTTTGCGATATGAGGAAGGAATTCTGTTGTCCAATCCTGTAGTGATTAGAAGAAGGGCAATTGTTTTTTATGAGAAACTGTACAGAAGTGAAGTAGGATCAGACAATATCAATGAGAGTGTCTTCTTTGAGGATTTACCAAAGGTGTCTGATGAAGCTAATGCAGAGATTTCAGGTGCGCTCAGCCTTGGAGAACTGCATAAGGCCGTTCAGAGCATGGAATCCGGAAGGGTGGAGTTGATGGCATACCAATAGACTTTTATAAATGTTTTTGCTAAGTTTTAGTAGAGGATCACTTAGAAGTCCTCAATGGTACTTCTGGTCTGGACGAAGGTACCTTTGAGTTGCCGGAGAGCTGCAGTCCTCCTGACCCTCCTTCCCAAAAAAGGAGATCTCACGAAAAAATCAAAAACTGGAGACCTGTTTCACTTAGTGACTATAAACTTCTTTCAAAGACTTTAGCAAACAGATTATCAAAAATTATGAATAAGGTGATCCATCCGGACCAAACCTACTGTGTCCTCAAAAGGTCGATTTTTGATAATATTTCCCTTATTAGGGATATTTATGATGTTTCTAAGTTATCAAATAGTGACATTGGATTGATTTCGCTCGACCAAGAAAAAGCATTTGACAGAGTTGAACACACATACGGGAAACGTTAAAAGCTTTTGGTTTTAGTATAAGTTTTATAGATAAAATTAAAGTTTTGTACAGTGATGTTGAGACCATACTCAAAATTAATGGTGGCTTATGCACTCCTTTTAAAGGGGTCATATAATGCCATTTTTGTATAAGCTAGTATGATTCTTTAGGGTCTAAATTAAAAGTTTGTAATATACTTTAATAAAAAATTCTCATTAGTATGGTAAGAAAACACTTATTTTACTTGGTCAAAAACAGCTCTGTTTTCAGCACGCCGTTTCAGTGCATATGACTTTAAATGATAATGAGCTTTGCTCACCCCGCCTCTCTGTTCTGTGCGTACACCGTTTGTAACACAATAACACAATAACCATAACGCGTTGTTCAGTATAAACGTGGGATTATGAATTATATTGAGAACATCATACATAGAAAACATGCCGTAATGTACCCTAAGTGTAAACCTTAGACGCATTCATTGTGAAGCGTGCAGCTAGCGATTTGCAAAGATTAATATTAATATAAAGTTTAATAAAACGTTACACTCACTTCAGTTGTTCTAGAGGTTCAGCAGGAACACGAATAGCTGGTACCGATCCTTTTTTCATGAGCAGCTTCTTAGCAAAACCAGCTCATACTGACCCTCGTTTATAAAGCAGTCTGGTGAGAAATGATTCGCGCAAACATGAAAGCATTGACGTTGCTCGTGGGGAATATTCCCTTCGAAAACAAACTCAGCCACTGCGTCTTCAGCGGTTCGGATTTAGGAACATTAAAATGACTGCTGTGTTCGTTATTACACCCAAGAACAGAACACCACAATCGCTTAGACGCCATTCTGCTCATAGACAGTGCTCCAGCATATCAACAATGACTGCGCCGGTCCGCGCAGACTATGATTGACAGCTCGGCTCGCTCACGAGCAAGGGCGGGTCTGTGTTGAAACGATGCTGTCAATCAACAATCGTGGGAGGGGTTTCCGAGCGTGTGACGTCACAAAATCGAACGGCTCAATTTGAGGCAGGGGAAAACATATAAGGAGATTAAAACAAAAACACTGGATGGATTTTTATCATTTTATGATGGTTGTGTACAGGCACTGCCAACACACATTTCAGTACAATCAACTTGTAAAAGTGCATGTACCATTATATGACCCCTTTAAAGTTTTTAGAGGAGTGAGGCATGGGATGCCCACTCTCTGGAATGCTATATTCGCTAGCAATAGAACTTCTGTTACAACAATTGAGAAAAAATGTACAAGGTTTTAAATTGCCTAATTTTGAAAATGGTTCTTTTTCGCTTCCTCCTGTCTTAGTATGGAAGAAAGGAGGCTTTAAATATTTGGGGGGTTTTTTAGGAGATGAAGCAACTGTACAAAAAAATTGGGAAGGAACTCTTGAAAAAGTTAAAGGTCGACTCGAAAAATGGAAGTGGGTAATCCCAAATATGTCATATAGAGGTCGAACTTTAGATATAAATAATTAAGTAGCTTCCTCTTTATGGCATAGTTAACCTGCATTGATCCTCTTTTGCGTCTCTTAGCAGACATTCAATCGATTTTAGTAGATTTTTTCTGGGACAAGTTACATTGGGTTCCTCAGAGTATATTGTTTTTACCTACTAAAGAAGGAGGAGGACAAGGATTGGTACATCTTCAAAGTAGAGCAGCAGCTTTTCATTTACAGTTTTTGCAAAGACTTTTTAATGGTATAATAATTTAAGTAAGGTAGTAAGGTAAGGTAGTAAAGTAGTTGCTTGTAAAATACTACAAAATCTTGGAAATTTGAAAATGGATAGAAATCTTTTCTTTATGGACTTGTCAAAACTGAACCTCAATGGAATGCCTATTTTTTATCGGAATGATTTAACACAAAATGACTGTACAATTCCTGGACTCACAGAAACACTTGTGGCTTCCAAAATTTTCAGGTCAAGCAAAGTTGGCGATCTATATGAGTAGAAAAAATACAAGATAGAAATGGGTGCAGATCAAGATATTAATATTCTGTTTTTAGCCACAGTTAAATCCAGAACACTCATTGATTTTCGTTTTTATATAGTTCCAAGGAATGATGTTATCACATTTGAAATTAAATGGTGCCAGAATGAGGCTCTGTGCTCTGTTATTGATGGAAAAATATTTTTTTCTCTTGTACTAATGTAGAAAAAGTTTTTTTTTTTTTTTTTTTTTTTTTTTTTTTTTTTTTTTTTTTTTTAGTTCGTTGTTGGATAAAAGGTAAATGTGAAATGGTAAATGTTGATTTGTTGAAAAAATCTCAAAATTCTCTCTCTCTCTCTCTCTCTCTCTCTCTCTCTCTCTCTCTCTCTCTCTCTCTCTCTCTCTCTCTCTCTCTCTCTCTCTCTCTCTCTCTCTCTCTCATAGTTTATTGTTTTATTAGTGTAAACAAAATGGTTTTTCAGATGTGTCACTTTAAACTCTCTCATTTTACCACAGTGACCCTTTCGGGTGGATCGAGTCAGTTTGAGGGGTTTATGTTGGACTCTCGTGAGTGTGATAACTGTCCGTCTGTAGGTACGTTTAGTTTGGATGACCTGGACAACAGCCAACTCATCTGTGGTGTGAGTCCTGCCGTGCACCCACTACACACTTAAGTTATTCTTTACACCATGTGTTAAAGCTGCAGTCCGCAGTTTTTCCCCCTTGCCGCCATCTCTGTTTGAAATCTGCAATTGCAGTAATTTGCGGAATTATCAACTTTACGTGAGTTATACTTCGACACCCTCGACACGGCACAGCGCGGATGAACACAATGTTTGAGGAGACTGTGAGGCTGTCAGTCACCGTGCCGGTGTGGATTCTGGCATTCAGAATCACAGATTATTATTTTTGGAAGTATGACCAACATAAGAATTTTCACCGGGAAATGTCATCTGAACTAGTAAGAAACATCCACTTTTGTTCTGGTTCAGACATTGCAGTAAATCGCGCTGATTAAATCTAACAATCGCTTATAAGTTATATCACGCAAAACCGTACAAATTATACTTTGTTCTCAAATTGTTAATGTTAACAACGTCAGCATTGCATGACTACATATAATGTCCTTCCGATATGTATCCTTGTTTTCGCATGGGTCCGGTTGCAGTCTCTTTTTTTCTGTAAGTTAGCCACTCCGAAGTCCGAACGAAGTCTTTTGCATTTTACAACGGGTAAATCTGTTGTCACTGGTGATTGTTGTTTGAACCTTTCTGGATCCGCCATCAAATTGATAAGTTTAATTATATCAAGTGCTGTGAGAAAAGGCTATAAATCTCCACCACATCCTCACTCACAATATAGCCTACTAGCCGAGACTTCTTCTTTATGTATACAGATGTGACGTAATGACGCAAAGACATAATCGAATCTCCTGCGGAAATCCACCAGTACCACTGGAATTAAAAACATTATTACAAGCTTACCGCTTTGAATCGAGCTAAGGCAAGCAGATAGTTTTGAACACTGGCTGGTTATGTATTTTCTCAAATATGCATTTTGGATCATTTTTAACACAAAAAAAGCTACGAACTGCAGCTTTAAATGTTAGCAGCTATTAATTCATTAAACTAACATCAACTGTTTATGTGCTATTTCTAGGGCAGTGTCGTTGTTCATATTAATAATTTAAAGAAGAACTCAATCAGAGTGTTCTGGACACACACAGCGGCAGCCTCAAGACTATTTTTCTTCAGGTAGCCTAGTTTTACTGTGGAGCCTAATAATACAAAATGAAACATAATAGCATCATTATAGTTTCGTTGCGTTTCATATTAGTTTGCAAATCTGATCTTCAATTTCCTTTTCAGAGCTGCAGTTGTAGAAGACTTTTTTAAGTTTTGGCGAAGGAAGAAGATAAATGTACCGTCCACAACACCACTGCCCTCTGAAACAAGTGCGCATACAAGACTAACTACAAGCCCAACAATATTTCCAACAGATTCACATGCCACAGGTAATAATATTTTTGTAGCCTACTGTTTTTTATTATTATTATTATTATTTTAAGTAGGACTAATTTAAGTCACCACCATACAATCAATATTCACAATTCTTATTAAAAGTAATTGCAGTATTCATTATCATTTATCCATGCACATAAATATGGTAACTTATGCTGGGAGGGCGTAGGTTTGATTTTGAGATTGGTGGAGATATCCCAGGAAGCTGAGGAATCAGGAAATTAATAGGTTAATGTATTAAGGTTTTTAGTCTATGTTGACCTGAACAATAGCCTACGTTAATTAATGAATTCTGTAATGTTACAGGTAACTAATAAAAACAAGGAAGCAGTTTAACAGAGACTTGACTTTACTCTGTTCATAGTGCAGTGCAATAGTCAATGTTTCTACTGTCTTGTTCCTTGCTTTTTGAAGAAGCCAAAAACATGTCTGCATCTGTCATTAAAGGAATAGTTCACCCAAAAATGAAATTTTTTCAGAATTTTCATTTTTAAGTGAACTAACCCGTTAACAGAAATGAACTGTTGGCATATTTGTTTCACATCAATATTGTCCAGTTTGTCCTGTTGGACACGGAACACAGCAATATTGTTAAGATTATATTTGTGCCAGTGTTCTGAGCCATGTTTTCAGTCTCCTAGGAGCACGAGCTCACTCGTCAGCACAGTGAAAACAGTCCGTAGCAAACCACAACGATCTAACAATCCAATCAATTCTCAAAATTCCCAATTCACAAAGTCACTTCCTGCCCTATGTTTTTTCTCGTTCGAGAAGTCATCACACTTACATATGACTGAGATTTACTGGGGGGACACTAGTTGGGGACATATTTTATTAACCACAGATGCAGTAAATCCTACTATATAAATATATTGGAGGCTATTACGTGGATAAAACGCTTATTTTGAAAAAAACTCAACTATTCCTTAGTGTAGGCTACTGAGATACATCTATAGCTGTTTTTGTTTAATTCATTTTGTACAATTCTTCTTCATTTAGTGAGTGCTTCAAAGAGAATTTTTTTTTTTTTCCTTTTGAAAAAGTTTTCCCTGGTGAAAATACTTATATATTTAATGCACATTTTTAATTACAAATTATATTGTCAGCATAACAATTTGAGTGAAAGTAGCTGTGTAGGCGAGAATGTTCCCTTTTAAAACAATATGCATTTTTACGTTTAAATTGTAAGATATTCAGATATAAGCTCAAGGGTGCCCACTTCCTGGGACAAAAAGGTAAACTTGGCCCAACTGATTTTAATTAAATATAAAATACATCTGATATCACTAACACTATTTGTCATTTAATATAGGATAATAAACAAAAATAGTCTGTGTAATAATGCATTTAAGTTACAAAATAACAGACAAATCATAAGTGTCTTTTAAGGCCTATTAATAGATATTTGAAGGGGCGTCAAAATGGCAACACTGAATTAGAATTAAGGGTTCCCCCGCCTCAAAATCCTAGTTAACCCCTGGTTATCACTGATACTATTGCGCTGGCTGCTTGGATTTATGCCATTTTAGCATTCTATAGCCTACTATATGGAATTACATTGTTATTTGTGTTAGCTCACTATCTTTGCCTATTTCAGTGCATTAGGTAAGGTTAACGGTTTCATAATATTAGTGATTCTCATTTCTCTATCACAAAATGCTAAAACTTGCACTGGTTTGGAGATTAATTTAGAGAGAAATTTTTAGAGAGAAACATTTTTTAACCCATCTCTGATGTGTGATACTGACCTGAATTCTATATATGAGTTTCTAAAGGTTTTTTAATTATTTGCACTGTTCAGAATAGACTGTTTATATGCAACTATAGTTTGATGTATTTTAAAAAGTTGGCAGTCAAAACTAAAACCGTCAGAGAGAGGATCAATGTTCTCAATTTTTTACTGACAAACAGCAAATGGGAATGTGTGTATTACAGTATGTACAGTGTTTTCTACATTTTTAAATTGCAGTACAGTATTTATTATTAGAGGGGTAGACTCCATAGCTCAGTACTCACTACTCATGAGTACTTTTAAAGAAGCTACTCTCACACTACTCAAGTAGTTTTTTTTTATATGTACATTTGACACAAGTTTCCTAAAATATTTGTTTAAAAATTACATTGTCATTTATTAGGCAAATATCAATTCGAAACAACTAATTAGTCTTTATTCACACATAATAACCAAAAAACTTATATTTTGTATGGTGTCCTTTGGCCATGATTACAGCTTGTATTCTTTTTGGCATTGTTTTTATGTACAGTACTTTTCCACAGTCTGTTTTGTTTTTGACTTCCAAATAGTCTCTATTTGTTCCCAAATACTTGCTTTTGATGAAACTTTTGTGCGATATATCTTTGAATCCGCTAAATCCTAGACTTTGACCTGGCCAACTGTGACTAAATAGTTTACACATACTGGTGGATCAACCATTACAGATTACAGAAATATAAAAATTATTTTGGTAATCACCAATACTGTTAGTTTAGGGCAGCTGTGGCACAAACCTTACATTGGGTTGTGATCTAATACATTTATTAAGCACTGTATATATATATATGTTGTTTCAGAGACAATTTTATCAAAGACATTCATAGGCCTTTCTAAGTCAGTGTAATTACTGATGCTCTGTGATGCTTTCAGCTCTCCCCACAGGCACATCCACAGCACCACCGATCTCTGAAGCCAACAGTACACAAACGAACCTAACTACAAGCACAACAACATTTACAACATCAAATATAGACTCACAGGCTACAGGTAAAAAGATTTTATATATATATATATATATATATATATATATAAAAATAAAATTAATTTATATATCTGATGTGTGATGCTGAACTAAACTATACATGAGTTTCTAAAGGTTTTTGTATTATTTACACTGTTCTGAACAGAGACTGTTTTATGTGCAACAATAGCTTGCTCAGTGTTCATTAAGGCCAGACCCTTTAAACGTAAAGGGATTTTAATTCTTTAATTTTTTCATACACTAGGATTTAAAATAGTGATGAGTTTAATTAAAAAACCTTTCCATCTTTTCATCTCTGTAATCCTAATAACTGTTATTTTCGGAAGTAGATATTGTATCACTGATAATCTTAAAATCAGTATTTTAAAAAGTTAAAACTAAAACTGTTGGAGGATCAGTATTCTTTTTTCCCCCCTGACAAACAGCAAATGGGAATGTGTGTAATGTGTATTACAGTATGTACAGGCTTTTCTACATTTGTATATTGCAATGCACAGTATTTATTATTAGAGGGGTATAATCCATAGCTCAGTACTCACTACTCATGGGTACTTTTAAAGAAGCTACTCTTTTACTCAAACTCAAGTAGTATTTTTGACAAGCACATTTATCACACTACATTTTTGAAAAGTAATGGTGCTTTGACTTGAGTATTGTTTCAGTACTCTTTCAAAGTGTAAATGCTGTTGGTCTGGTATTTATACCTGGTATTACAGTTTTTTCAAATCGCTTACACACAATTTCTGAAACTATGGCTCAATTTCTTGAAACTCAAAACCACAAAACACGCACATAACATGCAAAACATCTGACATTTCTTGCAAAAGCAAACAAATCATTCAAAACTATTTTAACTCTTCCAAAAATTATGCAAAAGTTTTTATGCATATTAACTCTACACATAAACATAAAATGATTAGCCACATGCACGCCAAACTACACATGGATGTGAAAAATGTAAAACACTATCTTGTGTCTTTTGCTTGTTGAATTTCTCACACGTACATGTGCACAAATACACTGTATATACAGTATGTATGAACAATTGATGAATGGGTAACGCTTCCTTTTACAGTACAGTACTTACGTGTACTTACAGTGTACTTACCTAGAAAGTACTGGCTAATATAAGGTAAGTACATGGGTTAGGGGTAGGTTTAGGGGTAGGTTCAGGGTTAGTACCTAGTTATTACCCAGTAATTATAATTACTATAATAAGTACATAGTAAGTACATGGGTAACAGGACTGTAAAAGGAAGCGTTACCGATGAATGTTAGTTATTGAAACTGAATCAACACTGAAGTGACTTGACCAAAATATTGACACTGTTGGCATGTTGGCCAAGCTGCTTCTCAGGCGATTTTTAATTTGTTACTATTGTGAAGTCGCTGTGAAACAATCTATATCTTAGCTTGTATGTACATTCAATATATATATGCGCTGCATGTGTGTGTGTATATATATGTATATGTACAGTATATACATGCATACATACATACATATATGTAAATATATATACATATATATTTATTTACTGAAAACTGAGTTTGATTTCTATGTGATCAATTTATGTATAAGTGTTTTCACACATGATCATTGAGTGTAGGTCATTAGTAAATGAGTGTGGCATGTAGAGAACTGTGTTTAGCGTTTTGGGGGTAAACATAAAAACATTCACTGAGTGGGCCTAAATTTCCACTTTAAGTGCATAAGCAATTTGAAAAAACTGTAAGATGTGTTTTGGAAGATCGGGTAACAAGTGGATAACGCTAAATACAGGTGTAAATGGGGTCTAAAAGGTTTTGAGCTTGTCTTTCTACAACTTCCAGAGGTAGTCGAAAACGCATACGACGGGATCGGGATTGCTTTACTACGAAAGTAATATAAACTGTGTGTGTGTGTGTGTGTGTGTGTGTGTGTGTGTGTGTGTGTGTGTGTGTGTGTGTGTGTGTGTGTGTGTGTGTGTGTGTGTGTGTGTGTGTGTGTGTGTGTGTGTGTGTGTGTGTGTGTGTGTGTGTGTGTGTGTGTGTGTGTGTGTGTGTGTGTGTGTGTGTGTGTGTGTGTGTGTGTGTGTGTGTGTGTGTGTGTGTGTGTGTGTGTGTGTGTGTGTGTGTGTGTGTGTGTGTGTGTGTGTGTGTGTGTGTGTGTGTGTGTGTGTGTGTGTGTGTGTGTGTGTGTGTGTTTTCTAATGGAAAAATACTTCTTCATGTTTTGGGACAATTTTATCAAAAGCTTTTCAATGGTTACCTCCCTTCTGTGTCAGTGTAAATACTGTTGCTCTGTGATGTTTTCAGCTCTCCTCACAGGCACATCCGCAGCACCAACGATCCCTGAAGCCAAAAGTTTACAAACGAACCCAACAATAATTGTATCAATATCAAATTACTTCGTACAGTTTCATGGTAAAATATATAAATTACATATAGAACAATCAAATATAACCATTAATGCAGGGCTGGTGATATGTTTAAATATGTATTTTTGAATGCAAAAATACTTCCTTATGTTTCAGAGAAAATGATACATTACACATTCATACTGTAGGTTCCTTCCCTGTTGAGTCAGTGTAAATACTGATGCTCTGTGATGTGTTCGGCTTTCTTTGCAGGCAACTGCGCATCACCGTCAATCTCTGAAGCCATCAGTACACAAATAAACATAACTTCAGGCACATCAATATTTGTATCGATATCAAATAGTCTTACAGGCTCCAGGTAAAATAGCTGAACACATCACAGAGCATCAGTATTTACACTGACTCAACAGGGAAGTAACCTATGAATGTGTAATGTATCATTTTCTCTGAAACATAAGGAAGTATTTTTGCATTCAAAAATACATATTTAAACATATCACCAGCCCTGCATTAGTGGTTATATTTGATTGTTCTATATTTAAATATGTGTTTTTGAATGCAAAAATACTTCCTTATGTTTCAGAGACAATTACACATTCATAGGTTACTTCCCTGTTGAGTCAGTGTAAATACTGATGCTCTTTGATGTGTTCAGCTTTCTTTGCAGGCAACTGCGCAGGGCCAACGATCTCTGTATATAGTGTTGTGTGTTACTATGATGATTTTTTTGTATTTGTGCGCCTTCTAGTAGTATTGACCTCAGTCATGTGGAAAAACTTCTTCTGACGAGATTCAGGCTACATGTATCTTTGTAATTACTACCTGTGTTTTTGGTGGTTGTCAGTATATTATAGAGGTTCAGAGGTTTGGTATATTAACACTATCAGTTAATAAAATACACGTCTTTACTGTAAATTTAAGGTCACTCTGTAAAACCTAAAATGTTGCTACCATAGGAATTTTTTATGGCGAAGTTCAGCAATTCACAACTGCCTAAATTTCAGAGATTTTTGCTACAGTATATAATGTAAAATAATGTATATAGTTCACTTAGAATGATTATATCAAAATGATTATGTTCTATGTCAATAACAGTCATGTTTGGTCTTATTTGAAATGTCTCAGTTTGACTGGTACAATGGTCACATACCCACAGAAGTAAAACAAAAGGTCATAAGGGTTTTAAGAGTTTAGAAATACTTTGGTTACTGTGGTGGATGTGCCCTCTCCCAGGATCTTTGCAAATTCCCATCTTAAGTTCATTCCTCAATTTGGGGGATGTTTTGTCTTGGTCTGAGTATTTAAAGAGATGTTGCAAAAGCGATTCTGTATAGTCAGATCAGCCTGTAGTATGAGTGTCTATTTTTCTGATGTTAGATATGCATCCTTTACTCTTTATTTGAGCAATTGGCATGATACATTTACCTGACTAATAATAAATTGTTATATTTGAATTTATTCTGACTTACTCTGAAGTTATTAACTCTAGTAGATTACATTGTATCCATTGTAACCGCAAATCTGTGTTCAGGTTAGTAACGGACTAAAGTCCAGTATTGAGTGGACTGTAAAGGCTAAAAGGGGAATTTCCATATAGGACAAAAGAACGTTGATGACCAACCTAAATAGTGTGAGCCTTGTCTCTGTTTATTGTAATATTACTCTAAGTGTAGGGCCAGCGGGCAGGCCTTACACCAATAAAGAAAATTTATTTTTAAGAGCATGATGATGAATCTTGTCATTTGTTTTCATTTATTGTAGTTACATCAACATCGCCTTCTCAGTGTGCGCAATATATGGTATGTAGACTCTATGCATGTTGCTAAGTGGTATTTTATTGTAGCAAGCATGTTTATAAATCAAATTTTCTCATGATGATTCTACAAACGTAATTAGGTTTTAAGTCTTGCATGGCTTGCTTGCCTCTATCTCACTAATTTTGCCTTTTTCCTCTTGCTTCCATGAATATCATTTTCATGATCTGCATGTTGATTTAAAATATGCATATTTGACTATCGATGTTGTTTTTTCTACTTTACATGAGTGTGTTTGTATTTGTACATTTATGTCTTTTTGTATACATGTCAGAGATGTGTTTTAGCACTGTTATTGTTCAGTCGCCTCTGTTTTCTTGGAGGCTCTTCGCTCCTGATTATCATTAGACCCGTTTTGGAAAAAACGGTAAGTGTGTCAAAAAACTTGAATACATTTATGACCTCCATTTTAAATTCACAGAGTCATACTAAATCCATAATTTAAACATAATTTCCGTATATGGCAAATAATGTATCTCTTCACAGACAACCATGAGTGCCTCTGTCCTTGAACTAGCATCCAAAACTATTGCTGTCATCCTCGTACTAATAAAAGCAAATAAAGTAAGGATTATTTGTTCTATTAGGCTACACTACATTTTACTTTATGACATACAGTATTACATTGTTTAAACTGAATATTTGTCTAAGACATATTAAGAAAAAAAAGTAAAAGCATTAAAGGAAATTTACAACCAATTTAGTTCCCATTTCTGTGCATATTTTTGTGTTAGTATGAGTGCGTGTACGAGTGTGCTGGTTTCAGGTTTACCGCTTTGACGGTGGCTGCCATGGTTTCAAGCCTGCTGCACACTATCACTGTTCTCCTTCACTGCGGGCCAAGCCATGAATTGTGAGTGTTATCTTTAGCTACATATCAGTGCCATGGTGTCATGTACCGAAGAGAAATGCAGAAAATAGAAATTACAACCTTTTCCAAATGGGTTTTGTCTGATAGCTCCACCCCGAACTCACACCATTGGCTGATTCAGTGTTGCAATGAGTTATTACTACCGGTAATAGTTTCAATCATAAATGTAAAACGTCTGTGTTTTGAATTTAACACTCTAAAAACCTTGACTTACAGAAGGAAGTGTTGGCTTTATGCCATCGTAATGGTTGACCTAATGAATACTACCATTACAAGTAAGGTTCAGTTTTTCACATTCTTTATTAGCCTAGTATTAAAATCACATTTTTCTGTTATGTTGTATGAGTTACTTTTTTTTCTTCTAAGTTTGGTGTTGGTGTATTTACTCATTCAAACGTATTAAAAGCTAATTCAGATGTATCTAATTAATACCTTTGTGTTTATAATCCTCTTCTTTCATGTATAGCCACTGCAATATTTGTTGGAACGTGGTGCTTTAAGGAGTGCTGGCTGCCAATATTAATGGGAGTTTATGTTGTTTGGGAGATCATGTTGTACCTTGGTTCAGTTTGCTATGAACATACGGAAAAATACCAGACAAGGAAAAGAGTCAGAAGTAAGTATCCTTGGTGCCAAATTGAGTCAAGGCACTATAGAGAGATTCCCACGCAAGCCTCATAAATAGACGAAATGGATTTTAAAGAATTCTACGTGTTATCTTTCACACCCAGGCACAGTCTTGTGTACTTCCTTATGCATGTCCCAGAATTTATTAACAACCTTATTTGTTTGCATTTGTATGTCTGCAGAAAATCAGAATCATATTTTGGAAAAGAGGGTAAGTGAACTTTACATCTGTCATATCTTAGATTTATAAAGATAAAGCCATGCCAGTTTCTGTCAACTTGCTTTACAAGTTTACAGTGTATAGCAACTCCACACAGATTTTACGGCACCAGTCTAGATCCTTGCAGATAGAAAAGGTCTACACACCCTATTTAAAAATGCAGGGGGGTTTTTTAGTAAAGAAATGAAACAAAGATAAATCATATCAGAACATTTGCACAAATTAATGTAAACATTACAACATCTGTAATGCCACTGAAAACCAAAGTGACACATTTCAAAGGAAAAAAATGGCATAAGTGTGCACCCTTTAATAATTGTGTATCTGTTGAGAATGACTAATCATCAAGCTCATGAACGTACACAACACATCATGGGTGTGCACACTTATGCAGTTAGTTATTCCAAGTTTTTATTTGATCCCTTTTTATATTAAGTGGCTTTAAGTATGTGCTTACATTGAAATTATTAATTTGATAGACTGGACTTATTGTGTACATACATTTTTTTTTTTTACATTGTAGTTATTTTTTTTAAATATCTGCATATAATTACAGCTGTAATTAATGTATGTAATTACATTTGTAATTCCACAGTTGACCCTTCTCTTACACCTTAACCCACCCTAAACCTACACATACAACTACACCTGTCCCTACACATATCACACCTCAAGAGCAACTAAAGTGTTTTACAATACAACATGAACACAAAACGTACATTGTATTATTTTTCTATGTAAGTACTTAAAGCCACTTAATATAAAGTGGGACCTTTTATTTTTCTTTGAAATGTGTCACTTTGGTTTTCAGTGGCATTGCATGGTTGTAATATTTACAACCCTTTTTTGCAGAATTTTTGCATGTTTAATGCATGTTTGATTTTTTTTTTTTTACATCACAAAAAGCTTTAAAAGATGTGTGTGGAATTTGTATATCCAATGTAACAGGTTGACCTCAACATTTTAGGAACTCACAAAATTATAAGACCATACAATTGGTTATATTGTAACATTACCTTAAATTAAGACTTTTCTTTATTTTTTTGTTGTTGCAGATATCCCCATGGTTGTTAATGTTTATAATCTTTACAATTTTAAATGTATCGTTGACAGCAGCACTTATAACAGGAGTGTCTTTGGTCAGAATGATAAATTGAGAGAACGTCTGCAGATTTTCCAGTTGGCAAATTTGTAATCTTGGTACCATTGAAAGGCTGGGCAGAGTGGGAGCAACTCTTTCCAGTTGTAGTAGTACATCAGTATTCAGTAATCACTTTAAAGGATACATGTAAATTAAAGATGGAAAAATGCCCTTCATCATCATAACTTTGTCTGCTTTTGATGAGAATCCTTCATTTTATCACTGATAATGTTAAACACTTAAGTGATTATATAACTTCTGTTTTCTAAATGTTTTGGTTAAATCCAAGTTTTCTGTTCAGTTCTACAAAAAAACTTTAACCTCTGAACACTAAGAGGTTAAATAATGACAACAACTTTAATGGAGTTAGATTAATTATATTGGAGTCAGATCAACTGAAATCTGCACTACATATTTTAAATGCTTTTTGTTCGATTGTTGGTTTAAAATAGCAACGTATGCTCCCAGCAATACACCTTTATTTACACCTTTTTATGAATTCTTATGAATTATGTTTCTGAGTTTGTCTGTTTTAGTATTTTGACAGTAACATATTTATGCAATTACAAATATGCAAGGCTAAAGAGCAAAATTAACAAAGACCAGTTTCGATAATGTGTCATGTTTCCTGATGTTTTTCTCATTCCATCAACATTAAAAATCAATTGCTTGGGTAAAATGCAGTTCTCTGTTTATCTTTCTGCTTAACTGTCATTAAGCAGAAAGCGTTTGGGTGTTTCTCAAACGGAAGGCTTCATCCTTGTAAAGCTGCATATCTCGGCTGTCATGTCATCAAGTGCCGCTGAAGGCCGTCTCAATCTGAAGGATCCTTGGAAGGCAGCCTTTGTTTCGCGTCCTTCGTTTAACTCATTTTGAAGGATTCATCAAGTGTATCATTGAATTACCCACAATCCTTTGCACACATTCCAATGCATGAAAAAGAACAGAGCAAATTCCATTTGAGAAGTACCCATCCTATCCACCTTTGTCCGGAGGCTGCTCACTGCAGAGCCAATGGGTGGAGCTTGATGTCCAGATTCCCCTCGCTGGACCTAATGGGTGGAGTTATATTTAGTTATAGGGTTAGGGTGTGGTTGGAACGTCTAGCTCCTCCACACATTAGAAGTGTTCGACTTGAAATGGAGCTGCGTAGACCGACCGGTGTATGAAATCAAAGTACCGCGAGAGCGATTGGAGAGTAGACGGCTCCGTATACTTTGGAATCACTCTAACAGTACCTTGATGTCATACACCGATCCATCGTCGCAGCTCCACTTCAAGTCGAACACTTCTAATGTGTGGAGGAGCTAGACGTTCCAACCACACCCTAACCCTATAACTAAATATAACTCCACCCATTAGGTACACAGAGGTGGAATTGGACAAGATCAAGGTCCACCCATTAGGTCAGCACCACTTCAAGTCGAACACTATGCTGCGTCCCAATTCAGAAGCTGCATCATTCGAAGGCTGATTGCATCGCAGCGGAGCGTCAAAGTCTCTCCCAGTTTGAGGGCTCCTTAAATGCAGTCTCCAAATGCATCCTTCGTTTCCCGCGCAATGATGAATACAACAGATGGATCCTTCGCGGCCTTGCCTAAACCACAATTCATTCTGCACCAGTGACAAAAGGATTTTTTTTTTTTTTTTTTTTTAGACTTTGTCAAATTACACTTTTAAAGGTATTGGGCTTCAGCTCACTCAAATATCTAACGATACAAAAGTAAAACAAAAACAAAAGAAAACAGCAACTTAAAAGTGGTTCAAATTTTGACCAATATCTTACTAAGATGATCTGATTATACTAGAGAAATTAACCATGGTGAACATATTTAGACCGTTTGTGAACCCTGTTTTGTTTTCAGACAGTTTAATATAACTTTCAAAAAAGTCAAGTAGCTAGGCGACAATAATTCTCGGTAGATTAGACAGACAGTCCAATTAACTTGTTAACTGTTAAACTGTAAAAAAAAAAAAAAAGTTAAACTGTAAAAAAAAGTTTTGCACTATGAACGTAATATAAGCATTTTCCTCCCATAATCTAAACCGCAGTATAGGCTCGTTAGGAAAAAAGTGGATAAAACAATGGAACTATTCTTGAAGCACTTTGAACTTGTAGATATCTGGTTAATAATTTTCTTCCTGTGGCATTAAAGTTCAAGATGAGTCATGTCAGAGTCATGTGAACCTTACTCACTGCAGAGTCAAATGACGCTCCTCCTCTCTGGACGTCTAATGGGGTGGAGGGATAGAGTTCTGAGTAGCGTTAGGTTGTGGTTGGATATTTTATCTCCACCCATTAGGCCCAAATTACATTCGCTCCTCATATTTAAGATGTGTTTAAAAGCAATAAAAAATACACCTTACAACATATGTGATATTGAGCTGATGAGTTGAATCAGGTGTGTTTGATTAGGGAGTCAAAGAAAACGTGCAGTGTTGGGGGTCCTTCAGGAGCATGTTTGAAGACTGCCTCATGGTGCGTTCACACCGGACGCGAATAGCGCGTCAGGCGCGAGTGATTTCAATGTTAAGTCAATGCAAAGACGCGTTACGCGCGTAAAAAATTCCTGCGGCGCGAATGAGGCGTAGAGCGCGGCGAATTGAGCGTCTGGCGCGTTAAGCGCGTTACGCGCGAATGATTTAGTTAGTGCTATTTGTGCATTCACGCGTTTGACGCGAATTCGCGTCTGCCGCCCGAGTTGAAAAATCTGAACTTCTGCGTCAATTCGCGCCGCGTTAACCAATCAGGAGCATAGCTGCTTGCTGCTGTCACGTGGTGAAGTATCTGGATGCTTCAATAAATTATTTTGTAATATATGACTGTGGTTCTAATGCACAACTAAGCAAATATTTTATCACATAAAACTTGATTTCAATATATGAGACATATTCATTTTGCATTGAATGCTATTTATTCCATATCTAGATTATATGAAATATTATTATAATGTAAAGACAACCAACATATAAGTTCGTGTCTGGACAGTGATGTGTGAGAGAGAGAGAAAAATCACAGGACAGATTAATCACTTTTGGAGGCTGGCTTCATTTATTATCAAAACAAAAATAAATGACAGATTAGGTGGATGCGGGCGAGGGTGAACCTCGCGCCGGGCTGTAGAGCGCGGGCTCGACAGGCATAGCTAGACCACTCGAGGCCGAGGGCTTATACGGCCTACGCTGTCCTCATCAGCGTCCTCACCATTAGGTCCACCAAACCTAGCTCCTGGAGCAAATTGTGAAACTCCTGAAACCCTCCGGAGGTTCTGGTGGACCCGAGTACAGCGACGATGTCCCCTACGGAGCTGCTTCTGCTCTCCAGAGCATATACGAGCGGTGACTCTCTCGAATAATGCTAATGCTGATGCTCGATAAACATCTAAAAAGATGGCCGCCAACGGGTTTCGAAACTTTCGCCTCCGGATTTCGCCTCTGACGCGCGTAAATTTCGCTTCAAACTTTTGTTTTTACGCGCGTCAATTTCGCCATTGACACGCGAATTAACACAAAGTGGTCAAGCGTCAAACTAGACGCGGTAGACGCGAATTTGACGCGCTATTCGCATCCGGTGTGAACGCACAGTCACAGTTTAAAAGTTTGAGGTCAGTAAGATTTTTTTAAATAGAAAAATTAATTATATTATTTAGCATGGATGCATTAAATTGGTCAAGTGATAGTAGAGACATTTGTAACAAAAATCTTTTTCAAATAAATGCAGTTATTTATTTATTTTACTTTCTATTCATCAAAGAATCCTGCAAAAGCAGTTTTAACTAGTGGTGGGCAGATCGAGGCTTCGTGAAACAGTTGAAGCAAATGTGCCATATTGTGTCGAGGCTTCGAAACAATCCGACACCCGTCTCAACAGTGACACCTAGTGATCACTTCCAGGTGTTGATCTGAAACAACCTTGACAACAAGCCATTAAATTTTTTTTATTTTTATTTTATTATTGTATTTTTCTAATATGTAAAGCTTGTAAAGGCTCCTCACTGTGCATAATGTTATTTTGGTCATGAACAATTAATATTAATAAAAGTAATCAAGCCACAATGTCTCACTTTTTTATAGATTTCTATTCAAAAATATTAATTTCTCTGCTGTCGAAGGACTTAGCCTACTTCTTTTTTTACAGATAACTTCTCCAGCCTTTGAAAAAATCCTCTCACAAGGGACACTTTTTGCTGGCATTAAAAGATATTTTTGATCCATAAATCTATTAGGAAACCCAAAATGATGTCTTGGCTGTAGATTGGGTACTCATAGACCTATAAAATGTATATTCACAAAATATTATATTGACAACATATTATATTATATTCACATTGAGGCTGTTTTTTAACATGATTGACAGTTGTGATTGGGGCGTTAGGTTGTAGGGCTTAGGTTGACACAGGCCTATGGACTTTCTAAACAGTGTCCCAACAGTTTGTTATTATATTTCAATTATAATTATATTTTAAACAATGCATACCTTGCTTAGATGGCCCAGCAGAGTCGGTAGCAGGCCTAGGTACAGGGGGAATGCTACCATCCTCTGCACCCTGCAAAATGGCAGGATGAGTGCTCCTCAAAAAGCGCATCATGGATGATACTTGTTGCAGTAGGCTAGCTGCCGATCACAATACCTTCAAGTCGAACAAGCCTATTGATAATAATAAGAAATGTTTCTTGATCACCATATCAACATATTAGAATGATTTCTGAAGATCATGTGACAACTGAAGACTGCTGCTGATAATTCAGCTTGCCATTACAGGAATAAATTACTTTTTAAAATGTAGGCCTATACATAACATTTTTTTATTTTAAATGGTAAATCACAATGTTTCCGTTTTTACTTTGATCAAATAAATTTAGTCTTAGTGAACATAAGGCTTTCAAAAATATTTTAAAAAATCCAATCAACCCCACACTTTTGAATGATACTAACCTTAAACTAAAAATGTTACAAAAACAGGAACTATGACAAAATAGCATTATCCAGAGGGCAAGGAAATGAAAACTCATAACAAGAAAACAAATATAGCCTGACTTTTAATTATTGTAATCTTATTTAAGCAAATATATGAATCCAACCTACATTTTGATTGGTAAAAAGAGTATAGTTTACAATTCAGAGCTTAACTTCAAACGTCAGTGCAAAACTTCAGTCATTACCACACATGGCCTTGGGAAGAAATGTACAACTGTAAGCCAAATGCTGTTGCATTATTATTATTATATGATCAAGTGTCTGCCTTCACACATATTATCATCAAAGAAAACAAAGAACCAAAATGGAGTCGAATACAAAACCATTATTATAAAACATTTATAAACAAACACATTTTTTTAAAACCTCTTTGGAATAAAGATCCTCTATGTACATTTATATGGTCCTTGGACTCTACAAAATGACGTATCCAGCCCAATACAGTGATTTAATCTTACGATTTTCTGTTAAGGTTAGTACCCACATCCCTGCTGTTCAATTTTCTCCTCTGCAGCCACCGGCAGGATGACATGAGAAATTCTGCTCCACAGTCCGCTCAGTTTATCCACGTCCATTTGATTAAACTTTGCAGATTTATCTGAGGAGACAAACTTCTGTTTTACATGGTCATGTACCATGTCCTCAACTGCACTCAGACTGGCCACTGGGTCTATTTCATGCACCGAAAGCATCACAGTGAAGACAAGAAAAACTTTTTTGTAAGCTGCATTCTCATGGTCACAGTAACGATAGAATATAAGCGTAGATCCAGGAGGGAGCTCCTCAAAACGGTGCACAACAGCTGCAGGTTTATCACCTTCAAACGCTTCCTTAAGCGCTTCATCAATCTCCAGCTTGACCTGATCACTGTCTTTTGCTTTTTTGGTGATCCCGTTGATTTCTAAGATTGAAGCGTTACGGAACGTGGAGTACGCCGTGGCTAAGCTTCGAGCAAGGCAGCCCAGCGTCCTTTCAGCCTGAAGGCCAGCAGTCAGAATTACACTGACCGGTTCAGTGGGGCTGACCATCTCCAGGTGGCGCTTAAGATGTTTCCCACTCCTCTTCCAGAACACTGAACGCTGACTGGGAAAAAGGGTCTGTAGAGCAGCTAAGTCCAGATCAAATTTCTCTATGGTTTCAGAATGGGACATATCAGTTTGACGCAAATGGAAGCATAGAAAGATCCGATACGCCAAGAAGCTCAAAGCCAGGACTCCTGTCAGTATCAGAGAACACCAAAGAAGCTTGTTCCTGTACCACAACCAGCCTAGGAAAACATGCATAATAAAGCATAGTGAATGTGAGACAAATCTGCTTGTTTAAACTATGTGGAATAGATGAAGGACACAAAACATACCTCGAGAGGAAGAGACTGGACTTCCTTTTGAGGTGACTGGTTTCTGCAAATTCTTCCATTCTTGTAGACAAAGTAAAGTAAAAGAATTATGATCTACAAATTCTTAAATATTATCCATTTTACTTTATTGGCTATTTTTTTTAAAAGACTAAATTATGAATGTAAAAATGATTACAAATCAAGTAATGAAATAAGAGAATAGTAAGTGACAAATACACAACATAATTTTTTACCTATGTTTTTGTGATGAGCGGTTGGTTTTGTAATGGGATGTTTAATTGTTGGGTAGACATTGCTCATCAGGGGTGCAGATTGATATCTTTTCCAGTTACCAGGACATGGGGCATCTAGTGATGGGATATAAACTTTAATCAACTAAAATTCATGAACAATTGTGACATATACAGTAAGAATGTTATTGCGCATCATAATGTGCACTTTTACCAGTGAACAAATTGCTAACTCTAATATATAAAATTACAATATAAAGATTTTACAAACTTTTGGCTTTCTCCGTTGTGGGATTCTGATATTTCAGGCTATTCTTATTTCTCATTAAGGCATCTTGTTGTTTTTCCAGTGGTACAGCACCCAAATTAGAAGGATCTGCAATGAAAAAGTTACTTGTGAGTAAAATGAACTACAACTAACATATCTATGCATTTCAATGCAACTGAGTTGGAAACTGAAAGGTAATTTTCTTAATCATAACAAACCTCTAGATGTTGTGTTTTGTCTGTAATTTTTTGTTTGGGTTTTAGGTCTGTGTATTTCATGGTCCACAGGTTTCTGATGAATGGACATTCGGCTGCCTAGTATCTCCTCACTTCTCAGATTTTCGCCACATGCATAGGCAGAATGCTTTTCTACTGTCCCAGGCTGGGCTGAGGAATCCACTGAAGAAATATAGCACCACCTGTTTAATATTATTTGATCTAACACTTATGTTTGTTTCTCAAATAGCATCTTACCTTTCAAACTGGGCTCATTGTCCTGCTCCTGCTCAGCCCCCTCATCTGAGTTCATATCTTGATCCTGATCTTCATCCTCACCCATCTCCACATCTGCTTCATCAGTGTGTTTAAATCCATCACCTCTCTCATTTATATCTCTTGCCTTCTCTGTCTCTTCAAGCTTTTTCTTCTTAACAGGGGATTCTGCATTGGTTTAATATAAATGAGTGCAAACATTAGCATAACAAATATGTTTTGCCTGAGAAACAAAATGGAAGACATTTTTTTTCATTTAATTTGACGTACCATCATCATCCCCCTTCACGAGGCTCTTGGACTTTTTAGATCCATTGACAGTTCTGGATGCACCATCATCTTCCCTCATTTTCCAGCTTCTTTTTAGTTGGGGTCTGGGTTCAAGATAAGCACTGTATACAGCTAAGATAGAGGATGTGGTAAAAAGCCATACAAATACACATTACAGTTCAAAAGTTTGCGGTCAGTAAGATATTTTTTTTAAATAGAAAAATAAATTATATTATTTAGTATGGATGCATTAAATTGGTCAAGTGATAGTAGAGACATTTGTAACAAAAATCTATTTCAAATAAATGCACTTCTTTTGAACTTTCTCATCAAAGAATACTGCACAAACAGTTTTCACAGAAATATTATGCAGCAGTACAACTTAACAGTGATAATAAGAAATGTTTCTTGATCACCAAATCAGCATATTAGAATGATTTTTAAAGGATCATGTGACACCAAAGACTGCTGCTGAAAATTCAGCTTTGCCATAACAGGGATAAATTACTTTTTAAAATATATACATCAAAAATAGAAAATAGTTATTTTAATCACAATATTGCTGTTTTTACTGTAGTTTTGATCAAATAAATTGAGTCTTACTCTTAATGAACATAAGTGAACAACATTTTAAAAATTCCAATCAACCCCAAACTTTATTTCTGTATTAAACTAAATACAATGTTACAAAAACAGGAACTATGACAAAATAGCATTATCCAGAAGATAAGAAAATGAACAAGAAGAAAACAAATATAGCCTGACTTTTTATTATTATAATCTTAAAACCCAAACTACACTTTGATTGGTGAAAAAAATATAGTTTACAATTAAGAGCTTAACTTCAAACATCAGTGCAAAACTTCAGTCATTGCTGCACATGGCCTTGGGAAGAAATGTAGGCCTACAACTGTAAGCCAAATACTGTTGCATTATTATTATTATTATATGATCAAGTGCATGTCATACAGTAAGAATGTTATTAAGCATCATAATGTGCACTTTTACCAGTAAAAAATGCTTACTCTAACATAATTACAATATAAAGATTTTACAAACTTTTGGCTTTCTCCGTTGTGGGATTCTGATTCTGATATTTCAGGCTATTCTTATTTCTCATTACGGCATCTTGTTGTTTTTCCAGTGGTACAGCACCCAAATTAGTGGGATCTGCAATGAAAAAGTTACTCGTGAGTAAAATGAAAGGTAATTTCATAACAACCTCAGATGCAATCTTGTAACAAACCTCCAGATGTTGTGTTTGGTCAGTAATTTTTTGTTTGGGTTTTGGGTCTGTGTATTTCATGGTCCACAGGTCTTCGATGAATGTACATTCGGCTGCCCAGTAAAAAATTATAAAGCTAAAGCCAAGATAGAGGACGAACTGAGAAATTATCTTACAGAAATATAACAACAAACGACACGTTTTTATTTAACGTTAGTACTTTGTGCTAATGCATTAGCTTGTGCATTAGCGGAAACTGACACAGTGACAACCGATTTTGACGGGATCTTTAAACTGAGACATATCAACATCTGCACATTGTGATCTTCAATAATAGCCTTAAATGTCAGTGAAATGTTTAACTTACACAAAACGGCTTGTTTATAATATTAAAAGTATATATTAGCTCATTAGCTTATGCTCGAGCTAACCAGTGGCTATTTGAACAATTTCGCCTAGTTAGCGAATCCCAGCTATATAATTCTAAATAACTTATGTTTTACAGAGAGAGAGAAAGAGAGAAGTTGTGGAAGAACAGTTTTGCTCCGTTTTATAAAGAGCATTCCGAGATGCACAAACGTATGAGACAATCTGTACGCAAATTGCGAAGCTTTACGTTATAATTTAAAAACGCAGTAATAAACTTGATGTACGGAGACAATGACCTTGAAATAATTAGATTAGCATTTTATTGATAATAAAAAATACTGTAAAGACAGACGGATGAACCCAGAATCTAAACTCAAACAGCAAGGTTTGCTAAGCAACGTTAGTTTGTTTACTTAACAGCTTTATATTGGCAATGAAACCCCAAACATAATATATATATATTTACCGTGCATTACGGTATCGTTCTTTTGGCATCAGATAATATTGAACGTTAACGTTATTGAAGATAAAGTAGCATTTGGCTCAATTTACTTTTCTGCAGTATTGAAGTCACGTTAAGAGTTTTAAAAAGCCAAACCTGTCTTAGATGAAGTTCTGGCGCTTCTTCTCCTAATTGTAGTTCCATCTTCTTTATAATCACCCGAATCCATTTGTTTTATATCACACACTTCTTGACAAACTTTTTACTTTTCCTATGCAGCTGAAACCGGAAAGCGGAACATTAATGATGCTTTTCGTCGGAGCGACTTCAGTGGAACACAACTTAACTCCCGGAAATCGTCCACATTTACTTTCATTTCATAAATGCGTTAGTAGCTCAACAGCATTCATTGGTCTTCATTTCTGCTTTATCTGTAATCCGTCACAAGCGTGTCAAAGGAAGCACATGGCAGATGCATTTATTAAGGCACGTTTATTTTATCCAATAAAGCTTTAAAGTAGGAAAACCTCAACAATTCATCATATATTACACGTTCATCCCTGGTCAACCAAATTTACAGATTAAAAATAACTTTAATGTAAGACATAATCTAGATACAAAAAGATCTACATGAAAACAAAGAAAAGCAATACAAATGGGAAAATTACTTTGTTTTATCCTTCTATAAAATGTCAATCTGGAAAGTTATAATTTAGCGTGAAAGAAAGAAAATTGTGAGGGACCATCATTTATACAGCAGCACATACAAATATGAATCTTTTTTTAAATTCAAAGTATGATTTGTGTTCAAATGCCCTCAATTAGTGAGGCAACTCATGAGTATAACATTTAAAGTTGTAATAAAAAAAAGTCTAATAACTGTTTCAAAATGATTTACCACAGTCCCCACCACAGCCCTGATGTTCAATTTTCTCTTCTGCAGCCACTGGCAAGATAAGATGTGAAATTCTGCTCCACAGACCACTCAGTTTGTCCACATCCATTTGATTAAACGTAGCTAACTTGTCTGAGGAGACAAACCTCTGTTTTACGTGCTCTTGAACCATCTCCTCAACTCTCCCTAGACTGACATTGGATGGCACTTCCACTTCTGTATCAAGCATTACAGTAAAGGCCAGGAAGACGTCTTTATAAGCCGCATTCTCATGGTCACAGTATCGGTAAAAGATGAGAGTGGATCCAGGAGGGAGCTCTTCAAATCGGTGGATTACCGCAGCAAACTTTTTACCCTCAAAGGCATTTCTCAGCTCACTATCAATGTCCAGCTTGACCTGATCACTGTCTTGTGACGCTTTGTCTTTTCCATTAATGTTCAGAACTGATGAGTTACGGGCAGTGGAAAAAGCATGAGCCAAGCATTGAGCCAGACAACCAAGTGTCCTTTCAGCCCTGTGACCAGACGTTAGAATAAGGCTGACGGGTTCTGTGGGCTGCTCAGTTTTTAGGTGGCGTCTGAGATGAATCAGACTCCTCCTCCAGAGTTCTGGCCGCTGATTTGGAAAGCTAGTCTTAAGTTTTTCCATTTCCTGATTGAACACGTCCACCACATTAAACTCTTTTGGTACAGGTGGAGTTGAGTCAGAAAAATATAATGTACTATAAACCATAGATGCAAGAAGGACAACAGCAGCACAAATCCATATCAGTTCTGTAAGAAAAAAAAATTATTAGTAATATTATTGGCTGTTTCTCTGCAATACTCATTTGACAGTCATTCTTCGTAATGTTAAATACTTTTTTAAGTCAAGTAATTTCTTTATAGACAGTCAGAATGGAGAGAAGAACAACTCACTGTCATTTCCTCCAACTCTGATCTGTGGTTGGGTTTCTCGTAGAAATCCAGAAGACGTATGTTGTTGTGACTCTAAATGTAAAAAGCAGGCAACAACTATTAAATGTAAGAACAAAATAGCAATTTTCAAATTGCAACAATTCACCAAATCTATAAAAATTAGATTACAAAATGTAAATTCATAATATGGCAATGGCATACTGCAAGAGAATCACTTAAAGGGGTAATTCACTGTTGACAAGATGGGCTTTTAATAAAACCTGGCTATCTATGCAGTAGAAACACAATTGTTTTTTTTGTGTGAAAATCGGTGCTACGTGACAAGAGAAAACAGAGAAAAAGGTTTTTTGAATTTGGCGTTGCCCCTCTGTCGATTCAACTGTTCATGGACAGGAACACAAAAATGCAAAAGTTCCACTGGTAGTTTTAACAATAGCCCTGGAGCTGTCAAAAGTCTGCCAGATGACACAAAATTATACATTTTGCATCATGCGGCAAACTTTTGATGACAAATAAACGGATATCCGAATGCAGGTAGTAACATGGAGAAAGAGTACACATTGTTCATTTACATAATACTACTGACATTGTAACATTACAAGGCTGGTTTCAAATCTGTGAATTTATTTAAGCTGACTTCTCAAATAGTATTTTACCTTCCAAACTGGGCGTAGGTTCCTTCTCAGCATCAAAGCTCATATCTCGATCCTGGTCTTCATCCTTACCCATCTCATTTGCTTTATCTATGTCTTGAAGTCCATCTCCTCTCTCATTTATATCTCTTGCCTTCTCTGTTTCTTTAGATTGTTTAGTCTCTGAAGTAGCCACAATTCTGTTGTCTATAAGATAATATTAAATGCGGAATATTGAATACTAAAATCACACAAAATAAAAGTTAATACTTGACCTTTAACTCCCTGCATTTTTATATTTCCCTCTTTAGGGATCATTATGACAAGCATCAATTCTGTTTGCTATATAACTGCTTATAAATGACAAATACACACATTGATAAGAAACAAATGCAGTAATCTGCTTCATTCTAAGAAAAAATACCTCTTTCTCTCTTCTCACTGTTATTGACGTTCTCTTTATCCTCTATTATAGTCGATCCAGGTTCAGAGCGAGGGACATTCTCAGCAGTCCTCGGACTGGGAAGTCTCATCTTGTCTGTGTCATACAAGAAAAAGTATATAGTGTTGTGTGCATAACTGAGCGTAAACAGCGCTATGAAACATTACAACAAATACTAAATATATAATAGTGCCACACTTATTTTTTCTTTTATATATATATAAATACACATACATACATACATCATTTTTATTAATGTAAAAAAAAAAAAGACATACTGCAGGCCTCAAAAATAAATTCAAAACATACAATAATATGACACAAAATTAAAGTTAATACTAGACTTCTGACTCACTCCATTCTTATATTTTGCAGTGCAGAGACCATTATGAAAACCAAACTTACCATCCTTATCTTTACCTTCAGTATCTGGAGAAGAATCAGCAGATGAGTCAACATCTGTAAAGTAGCAGTAGAAGAGCAGTTGTAGCTATTTAGTGGAGAGTGGCTGTTAATTCTAACTTTCTGATTCCTAACCTGACTCCAGTCCAATTCCAATTAAAAGTATATAGTGTTGTGTGCAATAACTGAGCATAAACATCGCTATATATGTTGTATGACAAAGACAACGTTATACAATATTAAATGCTGTTTAATACACACACTGATCTGCGGTCCAGAAGCAGCAGTATATGATGTATTGACCCTAACAGCCGTTTCACACCGCGAGAGTATTCACACTGGAAGCGTTTGTACAGCGTCAGACCACCGGCTCCAATGCTACATTTAAGCGAGCATTTCTTTACAAAGACAACTTAATTTGTTTTTAGAAGACAGCACAATCTGCGAAGGTAGAGCTAGCATATCCCTGTCTTGTGTATTACTAGTGTACATAAACTAAAAGTAAGTTTATATATCATATGCTCTGGCTAGTTTACTTTAGTGTTTTTTATAATACACCATACTTTTACCCAAACTGAATAATTAAAAACAATTTAAATGGGTAAATCTTCTGTTTTTTTTCTTTTCATTTTCTTTTCTGACATAATCCAGTTCTTCTTAAAACACACTAGACATGCTTATTCTGCAAATTTTGGCCACATTTTGTGTGAAATATTTATCTTGTCCATCAAAAGTGTCCTTTCAATTTAATTGAGCGTGAGCAGCGCAGTAAAAATAGACTCGTGCCGAAAACCTCGCTTCACTGCTGCTCCTGCTCCCGGTGTGAATTCACTCATTGGTTAACATGCACGCTGAAAAAAATAAGCGCTGCTCAAGCTTGCGGTGGGCCCTAAATGTACAGAACAGCCAACAGCTTTTAAAGGTAAAAAAAATAAAATAATAATAATAATAATAATAATAATGAAACAACTCTTTACAAATTGCAACAATAATTCACCTTGACAAGATGGGCTTTTAATAATACCTGGCTATCTATGTAGTAGAACACATTATTTTTTTGGGGGGGAAATCAGTGATACGTGACAAGAGAAAACAGAGAAAAAGGGCTGTGGCATTCCCTTGGACAAAAACTTAAAACACTCATTATACACTTTTGAATTTGGCGCTGCCCCTCTGTCGATTCAACTGTTCATGGACAGGAACACAAAATTGCAGAAGTTCCACTGGTAGTTTTAACAATAGCCCTGGAGCCGTCAAAAGTCTGCCAGTTGACACAAAATTATACATTTTGCATCATGCGGCAAACTTTTGATGACAAATAAACGGATATCCGAATGCAGGTAGTAACATGGAGAAAGAGTACACATTGTTCATTTACATAATACTACTGACATTGTAACATTACAAGGCTGGTTTCAAATCTGTGAATTTATTTAAGCGAACTTCTCAAATAGTATTTTACCTTCCAAACTGGGCGTAGGTTCCTTCTCAGCATCAAAGCTCATATCTCGATCCTGGTCTTCATCCTTACCCATCTCATTTGCTTTATCTATGTCTTGAAGTCCATCTCCTCTCTCATTTATATCTCTTGCCTTCTCTGTTTCTTTAGATTGTTTAGTCTCTGAAGTAGCCACAATTCTGTTGTCTATAAGAGAATATTAAATGCGGAATACTGAATACTAAAATCACACAAAATAAAAGTTAATACTTGACCTTTAACTCCCTGCATTTTTATATTTCCCTGTTTAGGGATCATTATGACAAGCATCAATTCTGTTTGCTATATAACTGCTTATAAATGACAAATACACACATTGATAAGAAACAAATGCAGTAATCTGCTTCATTCTAAGAAAAAATACCTCTTTCTCTCTTCTCACTGTTATTGACGTTCTCTTTATCCTCTATTATAGTCGATCCAGGTTCAGAGTGAGGGACATTCTCAGCAGTCCTCGGACCGGGAAGTCTCATCTTGTCTGTGTCATACAAGAAAAAGTATATAGTGTTGTGTGCATAACTGAGCGTAAACAGCGCTATGAAACATTACAACAAATATTAAATATATAATAGTGCCACACTTATTTTTTCTTTTATATATATATATATATATATATATATACATACATACTTTTTATTAATGTAAAAAAAAAAGACATACTGCAGGCCTCAAAAATAAATTCAAAACATACAATAATATGACACAAAATTAAAGTTAATACTAGACTTCTGACTCACTCCATTCTTATATTTTGCAGTGCAGTGACCATTATGAAAACCAAACTTACCATCCTTATCTTTACCTTCAGTATCTGGAGAAGAATCAGCAGATGAGTCAACATCTGTAAAGTAGCAGTAGAAGAGCAGTTGTAGCTATTTAGTGGAGAGTGGCTGTTAATTCTAACTTTCTGATTCCTAACCTGACTCCAGTCCAATTCCAATTAAAAGTATATAGTGTTGTGTGCAATAACTGAGCATAAACATCGCTATATATGTTGTATGACAAAGACAACGTTATACAATATTAAATGCTGTTTAATACACACACTGATCTGCGGTCCAGAAGCAGCAGTATATGATGTATTGACCCTAACAGCCGTTTCACACCGCGAGAGTATTCACACTGGAAGCGTTTGTACAGCGTCAGACCACCGGCTCCAATGCTACATTTAAGCGAGCATTTCTTTACAAAGACAACTTAATTTGTTTTTAGAAGACAGCACAATCTGCGAAGGTAGAGCTAGCATATCCCTGTCTTGTGTATTACTAGTGTACATAAACTAAAAGAAAGTTTATATATCATATGCTCTGGCTAGTTTGCTTTAGTGTTTTTTATAATACACCATACTTTTACCCAAACTGAATAATTAAAAACAATTTAAATGGGTAAATCTTCTGTTTTTTTTTTCTTTTCATTTTCTTTTCTGACATAATCCAGTTCTTCTTAAAACACACTAGACATGCTTATTCTGCAAATTTTGGCCACTTTTTGTGTGAAATATTTATCTTGTCCATCAAAAGTGTCCTTTCAATTTAATTGAGCGTGAGCAGGGCAGTAAAAATAGACTCGTGCCGAAAACCTCGCTTCACTGCTGCTCACGCGCTGCTCCTGCTCCCGGTGTGAATTCACTCATTGGTTAACATGCACGCCGAAAAAAATAAGCGCTGCTCAAGCTTGCGGTGGGCCCTAAATGTACAGAACAGGCAACAGCTTTTAAAGGTAAAAAAAATAATAATAAAAATAATGATAATAATAATAATGAAACAACTCTTTACAAATTGCAACAATAATTCACCTTGACAAGATGGGCTTTTAATAATACCTGGCTATCTATGTAGTAGAACACATTATTTTTTGGGGGGGGGAAATCGGTGATACATGACAAGAGAAAACAGAGAAAAAGGGCTGTGGCATTCCCTTGGACAAAAACTTAAAACACTCATTATACACTTTTGAATTTGGCGCTGCCCCTCTGTCGATTCAACTGTTCATGGACAGGAACACAAAAATGCAGAAGTTCCACTGGTAGTTTTAACAATAGCCCTGGAGCCGTCAAAAGTCTGCCAGATGACACAAAATTATACATTTTGCATCATGCGGCAAACTTTTGATGACAAATAAACGGATATCCGAATGCAGGTAGTAACATGGAGAAAGAGTACACATTGTTCATTTACATAATACTACTGACATTGTAACATTACAAGGCTGGTTTCAAATCTGTGAATTTATTTAAGCTGACTTCTCAAATAGTATTTTACCTTCCAAACTGGGCGTAGGTTCCTTCTCAGCATCAAAGCTCATATCTCGATCCTGGTCTTCATCCTTACCCATCTCATTTGCTTTATCTATGTCTTGAAGTCCATCTCCTCTCTCATTTATATCTCTTGCCTTCTCTGTTTCTTTAGATTGTTTAGTCTCTGAAGTAGCCACAATTCTGTTGTCTATAAGAGAATATTAAATGTGGAATATTGAATACTAAAATCACACAAAATAAAAGTTAATACTTGACCTTTAACTCCCTGCATTTTTATATTTCCCTCTTTAGGGATCATTATCACAAGCATCAATTCTGTTTGCTATATAACTGCTTATAAATGACAAATACAAACATTAATAAGAAACAAATGCAGTAATCTGCTTCATTCTAAGAAAAAATACCTCTTTCTCTCTTCTCACTGTTATTGACGTTCTCTTTATCCTCTATTATTGTAGATCCAGGTTCAGAGTGAGGGACATTCTCAGCAGTCCTCGGACTGGGAAGTCTCATCTTGTCTGTGTCATACAAGAAAAAGTATATAGTGTTGTGTGCATAACTGAGCGTAAACAGCGCTATGAAACATTACAACAAATATTAAATATATAATAGTGCCACACTTATTTTTTCTTTTATATATATATATAAATACACATACATACATACATAATTTTTATTAATGTAAAAAAAAAAAGACATACTGCAGGCCTCAAAAATAAATTCAAAACATACAATAATATGACACAAAATTAAAGTTAATACTATACTTCTGACTCACTCCATTCTTATATTTTGCAGTGCAGAGACCATTATGAAAACCAAACTTACCATCCTTATCTTTACCTTCAGTATCTGGAGAAGAATCAGCAGATGAGTCAACATCTGTAAAGTAGCAGTAGAAGAGCAGTTGTAGCTATTTAGTGGAGAGTGGCTGTTAATTCTAACTTTCTGATTCCTAACCTGACTCCAGTCCAATTCCAATTAAAAGTATATAGTGTTGTGTGCAATAACTGAGCATAAACATCGCTATATATGTTGTATGACAAAGACAACGTTATACAACAATATTAAATGCTGTTTAATACACACACTGATCTGCGGTCCAGAAGAAGCAGTATATGATGTATTGACCCTAACAGCCGTTTCACACCGCGAGAGTATTCACACTGGAAGCGTTTGTACAGCGTCAGACCACCGGCTCCAATGCTACATTTAAGCGAGCATTTCTTTACAAAGACAACTTAATTTGTTTTTAGAAGACAGCACAATCTGCGGATAAAAAAAATAAAATTAAAATAAACGCACTCAGGTTTGATTTGGGTAGAGCTAGCATATACCTGTCTTGTGTATTACTGTACATTAATTAAAAGAAAGTTTATATATCATATGTTCTGGCTAGTTTACTTTAGTGTTTTTATAATAGGGTACAGCATTCTTTCACCCAAACAGAATAATTAAAAATAATTTAAATGGGTAAATCTTGTATAAATATTTTTTAGTTTTCATTTTCTTTTCCGACATAATCCAGTTCTTGTTAAAACACACTAGACATGCTTATTCTGCAAATTTTGGCCACTTTTTTTGTGAAATATTTATTTTGTCCATCAAAAGTGTCCTTTCAATTTAATTGAGCGTGAGCAGCGCAGTAAAAATAGACTCGTGCCGAAAACCTCGCTTCACTGCTGCTCACACGCTGCTCCTGCCCCCGGTGTGAATGCACTCATTGGTTAACATGCACGCCGAAAAAAATAAGCGCTGGTCAAGCTTGCGGTGGGCCCTAAATGTACAGAACAGCCAACAGCTTTTAAAGGTCAAAATAATAATAATAAAAACAACTCTTTAAAAATTGCAACAATAATTCACCTAATCTAGAAATTAGGTTCTAAAATGTACACAAACGTAATATGACATACTGCCGGTGAAATAGCTTCATTTATCTCAATAATAAATTTGAAATGAACAACTAATATCACACAAAATTAAAGTTTCCTTTTCAGAGAACATTTTGACAAGCATTAATAAAAAAATAAAATAAATAACTTTCTCGAAATCCAGATGTACCACTCTCTTTGGGTGCATTATATGGAAATGCACTTTACAAAGAAGCACTGTAAACCCCCTCTGTTTAACACATCAATGATATGATTTGATGTAAAAATGCAACTCATTCTCTGCAACTCTGATCTGTGGTTGGTTGTCTTGTGCAGAAGAGGCGGTATGTTGTATTGATGCTAAATGTAAACAGTCAAAAGTTTTTAAATGTAAAAATTTAACCACTTTTCAAATTGCAAAAACATTTCACCTAATCTATAGAAATTAGATTCCTAAATGTTGCTTGGTGTCTAGAAGTTTGCCTACAATTTTCCCAGTCTTCTCTGTCAGATAAGGGAACAGCGTATTGCATCAAATCTGTGGAATTACTTGCATCCCTAAAAACCACTTGAACAACAAACATAAATTCTATCATGAAGATAGTGATAATAAAAGTTTGACTTCATGCTACACGTCACTTACCACCCTCTCCTGTAGTTTTGTCACCTAACAAAGAACCACTAGACGGATCAGTCACTGCAGATGTTAATTCTGCATTTGAAAAGAGGAAAAGAGCAGTTCAGGGTTTTAAAGACCCGGAACTATCTGACCACAGTTTTCATTCTTTCTTTCATGTTTCCTATTGTTGTTTTTTCATGGACTGGTCAATTTCGAGATTTTCGGCTATTTTGCTTCCATAATATGTATTATTTCAGGCTAGTGAAAGGAAAACATCCAAAATACACATCCAAGTGTTTATTTTATTACCCTTTATTTTTTTGCATCTCTAGATTTCAATTATATTATCTTTATTACACAGCTCTGTGGAATACTTGATTCTGATTGGTCAATCGCGTCATCCAGCGGTATGTTATTCCCAGATAACGACTGCTCAAAACAGATAACGCAGGCTAATCCGGGTAACTGAAGTCAGCAAGGCTATGTATTGCTAGGAACGGTTTTTCTTTGTGGAAGTTTTGCATTAGGTGAGCTAATAAATTATTAAAACTCAGTCGAATCAATATTTTGTGTACACAGTTATTCAATTATGCCATCCAGTATTGTGGAATCGCTCTCTCGTTTCATACAAATGCAGCTACTGCCACTTTGTAACTATTGTTTTGTACACTGTTGGATTATAAGATGCAAACAGTTAAAATTTTAAAACAGTTTAATCTGAAATCAATATTTCTAATTATTTACTTATGTGGCAAGTAGCCATGCAATAAGCGGGATAATGTACAGCCAGTTATTCTCTCGAAATAACGCCCTTCAGGCTGATTAAGACCTCATACCCTGTCGGGTTTATTTTGAGAGAACAACCGACTGGATGTACATCATCCCTTACTTAAAGGTCATTCTCTTTCATCATCTCGTGTTAGAGATCCACCTATGGAAAGGGCATACATACCTGACCTCTGCAGAAGCATCCAATTGCACCAAGTCTGGCTAGACAGACAGAAACGTGCAGCCAATGCCAGGTAAGGCCCCACACCCTTACCTGAGAGCATATAAGGCCTGCCTGCGCTGCTGTTCTCCAGTTGACATTCGCTTCTCGCAATCTCTGCAAATACACAGTTCGTTGGATTTACACTGCTCACTTGCGTGTCTTCAGGAGGACATATCGCCAGATCAGCCTCCGCCAGACATGACATTCGTTTATTCAGCCTGATTAGCTGTGTTCTGCATCCAGAGCCGCCTACGCTCTTGCTTTTTTTCACCTGCTCCCCTTTCCACTGCTGCCCGCCACAGATTTTTCGGAGTTTTTCGCCGGTATGTCACTGTCTAAATCTGCAGCTTCTCCGGGGAACAGCCCTATCACGGGCCTGCCCAGGCGCGTGTGGTGTGCTGATTGCCGCAAAGGACCTTCACTATTTCTGTGTGGTCTGCTTGGGGCTCAAGCACGCTGAAGAAGCTTTGGAGAATCCGGAGAATTGCAGTTAGTGCCTTATGCAGCCAAGAAGCTTTTGTGACGCCGTCTTAAAGTCGCAGCGACCCAGGGCCGAGCTCGGCCTTTCTGACTCGGATGGGGGACACGGTGACCACGACGTGCTACCGGGGGCCTCCCGGGGCGCTACTTCACTTGTCCGGGCTGACCAGCCCAACCCTGCGTTCCCGAAGAGGGCATCTTTGCGGGCAACCTCCAGCTCGTCGACGAACCGGCCGGTTCCGGCGATAAGGATGACTCTGGCCTTCTTGGGGTCTCAGAGGACGAGGAGGCCATCCAGCCCTCTGGCGTTCCCCAGGCTAACACCCCCACGGCCTTGCCTTAGTCTATCCTCCTGGAGGTGTGCGTGCGAGCGGCCGCCATCGCCAAGCACTTTAACCTGTTGGGGAATTTCCTTTGACTCATGCAAAAGTCTATATGCTATAACTTATGCACAGGGTACCCCTCTGGGGACGGTTATGATGCGGAAAGTTGTGACGACAGATGCGTCCTTAACAGGCTGGGGTGCCACCCAGGAGAGCAGAATGGTGAACGGTTTGTGGCCGAGCAGACTACGTTCAGCGCACAAATTAATAAGAGCTTATGTCCATATGGAAGGCTTCGAATAATTTTCTGCCTCGCCTGCAGGGACATCATGTGCTTATACGCTGTGACAATACCACGGCAGTGGCTTACATCAACCGTCAGGGAGGCGTGTCTCTCATTCTGATAGCACCTAGGTGGCCCAAAGCACCATGGCTGGCGGAGATAATCCCTCTGTTATATGCCCAGTCGTGGTGCCTCCCCCTCTATACAGACCTATTGTCCCAAGCGAAGATTTAACACCCACACCCGTACAGGGTGGCTCTCTGGGCCTGGCCCATGAGAGGACGAACCGAAGCGCACTGGGGCTTTCGCCGCGAGTGATTGCTACTATACAGAATGCCAGGGTCGTTTCTACACGGTCCTTATATGGTTGTAAGTGCCAAGTGTTTGAAGGCTGGTGTGATGGCCTGCGTTCACATGTGTTAGAGCTGTCCGCTTTTCACCCTCCACCTTTTTCCTCCATGGAGGATCAGAGGCTGAATGCTCTGTGTCCTGTCTGTGCCTTACAGACATATATGCCCAGGACCAGTGCTTTCCGGAAGAGCGACCAGCTCTTTATTTCATGGGCGCCCCCTCACAGAGGGAGTCCCATTTCTAAGCAACGCCTCTCACATTGGCTTGTGGATGCTATAGCTTTGGCATATGAATCAAAGGGAGTGCAACCCCCAGGGGACATCAGAGCTCTTTCCACGAGGGGCTTAGCCGCCTCTTGGGATTTGTTTAGGGGAGTGTCACTGCAGGACATCTGCTCTGCTCCTAGTTAGGCTTCTCCTCATACCTTTGTGCATTACTACCGTCTGGACATCACCAGAACTTCGGTAGTACATTCTGTTTTAGGGGTGGGGTCTTCTTAGCCCTTCCCTGTGACCCCCCTTTCTTTTTTTTCCAATTACTCATTGGAAGTTAAAGAACATGGGGTGTGAATGGACTGGCAGGCCATGCACATTCCTGTCACCAAGCATGCATGTACATTCCTTCCTGGGTGTATATATATATATATATATATATATATACAGTAGGGCTGGGTATCGATTCAGATGTTCAAATTCGATTCGATTTCGATTCACAAGCTCACAGTTCGATTCGATTTCGATTCTCGAGTCGAATTTCGATTCCTGATTCGATTCTCGATTCGACTATAATGATTATAGATGTAATACAAATCTCAGTCTAAATATCAGTTATCATTTTTTAGACAATTTTTTATTACATTGATCTCACCTAAATGTTTGTTTTTACAATGGGGTAATTTTTTTGTTAAGAGTTTATGCAACACATGGAAGCTTGATTTCAATCTTTGAATTAAATTGAAAAAAGTAGCACAAATAAATACAATAGAATAGGCCTGGATAACACTGGATAGTCTTTTAGTCCTGACTGAATTAAATACATAGGCTATTAATTCTGATTCCTAAAATTAATGCTATATTATGTTGTTTTGACAACAAAATTAATGACAGACACATATGGCTGCGTTCACTTTAAGAACTAGTGCACGGATCCATTACTGTTTCATTATACTGTCTGTCACACGCGTTTTATGCTTATTTAAGACATAACCGACTGTCTTTACGAGGTTACTCACCAAGACCAGAGTTTTGACATCATTTTGCGTGTTTTTAACTGTTAAAGCGATATAATCCACGAAAAATAACTTTTGTTACTGGCGAGCTGTTTGTGAGGCGGATTTAGGCTGTATGTGCAAGCAATGAAAAACATGCACGAGTGCGCGAGCACAGGATAGTTTAAAATTGCTTGAATGTTTAAACTGGTAAAACTTAAAAAAGACGTGAAAATGATAAACGTTAGTTACGATGCAATGCTGGCCCGATTGTGCAAGTGAATCATGTCCCGACTCCTAAACACGAGTGTGTATCGACGCCTGCAGCGCTTGACGCTTGCCTTGTGCAGAGAGAAGACGCGCAGCACCGCGAGCCCTGAATATGGAAAAAATCGATTCGTGGCCGTTGAGAATCGATTTTGAATCGACCACATTTTAAAAAACGATTAATCGAAAAATCTATTTTTTTGCCCAGTCCTAATATACAGTATCTCACAAAAGTGAGTACACCCCTCACATTTTAGCAAACATTTTCTCAAGGGACAATACTATAGAAATGAAACTGCTTGTATAGCAGTATATTTACTGTCCTCTGAAAATAACTCAACATACAGCCATTATTCTCAAAATAGCTGGCAACAAAAGTGAGTACACCCTAGGTGATAATAGCAGTACGTCGTTTAACCATGCAAAGCCACATCTCCTATTCATCATGTTCATGTTTTTTTCTGCTTGACAGGACCATACAAATTTGTGTATCTTGTATTAGAGCAGTTACAATTTGTGCTTTGAGTACAATTCTCTTATACTGACCACTGGATGTTCAACATGGCACCTCATGGCAAAGAACTCTCAAAGGATTTGAGAAATAGAATTGTTGCTCTCCAAAAAGATGGCCTAGGCTATAAGAAGATTGATAACACCCTGAAACTGAGTTACAGTACAGGCCAGAGTCATACAGAGGTTTTCCAAGACAGGTTCCACTCGGAACAGGCCTCGCGGGGGTCAATCAAAGAAGTTGAGTCCTCGTGCTGTGCGTCAGGTGCAGAAGCTGGCTTCAAAAAACAGATGCATGAGTGCTGCCAGAATTGCTTTAGATGTTGCAGAAGCGGAAGGTCAACTTGTTAGTGCTCAGACCATACGCCAAACAGTTTGTTGAAAGCAACCTGTCCAAAGACCATGAATTACTCAAACCATGTCCTATGGTCTGATGAGACTAAGATAAACTTGTTTGGCTCAGATGGTGTCCAGCATGTGTGGCGATGCCCTGGTAAGGAGTACCAAGAAAATTGTGTCTTGCCTACAGTCAAGCATGGTGGTGGTGGTAGCATCATGGTCTGGGGCTGCATGAGTGCTGCTGGTACTGGGGAGCTGCTTCATTGAGGGAAACATGGATTCCAACATGTACTGTGACATTCTGAAGCAGAATATGATGCCCTCCCTTCATAAACTGGGCCG